TGAATGCAAATATTTTGCTCAAAATTAAATGTTTATTTAAACTACAGTTTAATATGATTTTATTCTCAACTGATTTATAATTTATTAAAATAAATGAATAAAGTTATCCTTATTTTTATCAATTAAATTCGTTATTTAAATTATCAATTAATTGTTTATATTTCAAACAATTATTGTAAATGTATTCAAATTACTCATTGATAGACAATACAGTATAAGTATAATGTGAATGAACTAACAGTAATTAGGATTAGGATTAAGTATCGATATTAGGAATAGTGAACGATAACACTTTGAGTGACAATATTTGTTGAGTTCATCACTAAAATCAATGCCACAAATGACACAAAACATGCATTATATCACTCACTAATCACATTGAGATCACATTTTATAGATTAAACACTAATTAAATTTAAAAATATGTTTTGAACGTTAATACTATAGTATTTCTATAGAAATGGTTTTGAATACTGTTGTATTGAATTAGTGTTAGGAAATTATTTGTGAAAATTTGTCAATTAGTCAAATACTGGAATACAGGATATAAGACCTGGTTTTCACGCATTTTCATTCAATATTCTCTTACAAGTCATTAGTGTTTTGTCGTTTGAAAAGAGATCCATTGTTTTGTCGACAACTAATCCATACATTTGTGTCAATTAGACTCCAATCGATCGGTGATTGTGTTTACAGAAGAGGAAGCGATGGAAATGGAGAACGAGAAGCAGATCATTGCCACCAGGAATAAGCTTAAGTCTCCTTGGGATGAGTCGGAAGCACAGCTTCTCGGGTCTGTCGTGAAGGAGAATAAGATGAAAGACAAGAAGATCGCCGAACTGATTCTGGCCGAACGGTCTTTACAACAAGAGTTACGAGAGATCCGCGAAGAGAAAGTAGTTTTGGAAAAACAACTCAAAAACGAGAAGTTGAATGGCATTAAAGCCATTGAAGAGTTGCAAGAAATGCATGCAATTGTCGACAAACGGTTTACGTCTCTAAAGAGAGAAAAGTCAAGTTTGGCTCAAATGTTATCCGAAGAGCAGAACAAACGCTTACAACTTGAGAGTCAATTG